GTGGTGGTCAACTATTGGTCAACAATAGGTCAATCACCCTTGATTGACAGTCAGCGCATGAAAAAGATGGCGCTCTGGTGTAACTATTGGATGGATATTGTTACAAAAGCAAGAAAATTTAAAGTTCTTCATGCATATTACCCAAAGATGAACTTAAAAAAATTTCGATTAATGCAAGCTGAAGATGAAGATATTCGTACCAGAAATTTGAGAGCCAATTTCCAACTAGTGGAGGAGAATGATGAAGAAAATATATTATTAAAATTCTTTAGGAAAAAATATTATATTATTTCCTTATATTTAGACTTTCCTACTCCTAAATTCTTATTTTATTTTAGTAGTTCTAATAAATTTCTTGTTTTAGAAGTTTTCCATATTTCAATAAGATTTGTTTTAAATAATTAGGTTTATTGCTTTCCTAACTAGTTAGGGTTAATTCTATTATAAATGAAGATCATCGTAGTCTTTAATGCGGTAGTTTTTAGTTAATTATTATTTTAATGAATTATTGAAAACTTTTGTAGTTATTTCAATTAATTTAGTACAAGAATCTTGATATGATTCGGTGGTGATTATCGTATCACTTATCTAGTATTTGAATCTTAATACAACTCAGTGATGGTTTTTTTGTATTACTTGTTCTCCATAGTTTTCAGTCATCTCTGTTGTTGTTTTGGGGTCATAATCTCTTTTGCCTTTTCCAAGATTAGCTCTTCTGTTATATTCACACGATCTTGGTATTGAAGAAACCACTCATAAACAGCCTTCTCCATGTCTGGAAATTTTGATGGTTTGTGTCGCTTAGCATGACCACCTTTTTCTAAGTCAACCAAAAGATAATCTAATGATCGCTTGAATGTATTTGATATTGTACCTTGACTAACTTTCAAGTGAAATTTTTCAGAAACCCATTGTTGCAATTCTTTTCTAGTGCATGTGGGATGCTCTTTACTATACTCGCATAAGAAAAATGCTATAGACATCGACGTTTTGTACCAAATTTTTACACCGAACAATGTGTCTACTGAATCAGACGAGTCACGTATCACGTTAACAGATATTCTGCGAATGAACGGTTGTCTATCAAATATGGACGACTGTTCATTTAAAATGGACTCCCGTCCATATTATATGGATGGCTGTCCATCTAGAATGGACGCTAGTTCATAGTTTAAACTAAACAAATTTAGCCTAAATTGTTATAAGGACAGGCGTCCATCTTTTAATATTAACAAACTTTAAATTTTAAATTTATTTAATGCATTAATTATGAATCCTAATTGAGTTAGTGCCATATTCTTATAACTCTTGTCCAATTACTTTGAATATAGACAAAAATTTAATGAAGATATCGACATTTACTTTTTGGATTGAGACTTAATTTTTTTTAAATTAAACAATGGACAGGCGTCCATCTAAAAGGGACGCATGTCCATTGAATATGGACGTCCATCCATATAATATATGGATGAACGTCCATAATTTTTGTTTTAAGTTTTTTTTTTTAATTTTAAACAATAGACGGACGCCCATTCTAGGTGAACGCTCGTCCATAGTAAATGGACTCTCGTCCATATTATATAAACGAGAATCCATTGTTATTTTCTCATGGACGGGCATCCATTATAGGTGAATGGCCGTCTAATAATCACAGACGCCCATCCAATAATCACAGACGCCCATTATTTTGCTTTTAAAATTTTTTGGACCGGCGTCTATTATTTTTCTTTTAAATTTTTTTGGATGGGCATCCATTTATATGGACGTCCGTCCGTATCATATGAACGGGAGTCCATTAAATATAGGCGGGCGTCCATAAATGTTGGACGGTCGTTCATTCACGAAAGACTCCAGCATGGTCACATCTGACTAGTTGCCATGTCTTTTGGTACAAAATTTCGGTGTAAAATTTCGATGTCCATAGCATTACTCCTCACATAATGCCTTACAATGTTTACGCATCCCATCTGTCATGGTTGATTTTTAATACTTTTTATATGGGAAGCTATTGTAATTATGAAATAAAATAAGACTTTGTATTTGTTTATATAAATATTATTTTTAATATAATTCGTTGAATACATTTAATAAAATAAAAGATATCAAGTACAATGAATACATTTAATTCAATTAAATTATGTACGCATATTTTTTTTTTTTTTTTTTTTGGTTGAATACATTTAATTAAATCAGTGCAATTATATACAACGAATATTATTTAATTAAGTACATAAGTGCAATGAATTTATTATATACAATGAATATTATTTAATTAAATACAAAAGTACAATAAATTTTTAGTTGATTAAATACACTATAAATTAATAAATTATTAATTTATCGATTAATTACTACCTCTTTTAATTAATAGAATTTATATGGTCCCAATATTATTAATTTATATAGGTTATACTATATATAACACAAATTTAACAAATCATTTAATTGTGTACTAAAATTAGGGTTTTGTAATTTAATGTGTATGAATTTTTTTAATTGCTTTTTCTGGTAATATAATTTCAGATTCAACAACTCTAAACCTTCATAAAATTAGGGTTTAATTTCCAGAACATTTGCATTTTATACAACAAAGTGAAAATACCATCAAACAAACAACTGATTAGTCAATAACTTTTATTAAGAAACTTCTTTAATTTTTTTGAACAACTAGGTATATATCATGGATCCCATTCATTTCTATGACACCACGTAACATTATTTGCGCTTAAATAGGATCCATCCTCATTAACAAACCAATAACAATTAGCAGTATCAAAATATAAGTTATATTCATCATCAAGCTAGAAAACTTCCATTCTCTTATAATGAGAGTTCCATTGAAAAAAAACCCAAAAATAAGTAAACCTAATTAAACACAAATGAAATTTAAACGAATTATTCATCCAAAGGGTATGTTCTCTAAGATCATCATCTCTAGAATAGCAGTTAATGATAAAAGGTTTCTTGTTGCTTAAAAATACTTTGATTATGTGAACCTTGAATTTTAATATGATAAGCCTCATGTTTATATCTGCCGAAGGAGCTAGAGTTTGAGCTATGCCCATGGAGATGGAGATTGACAAAACCAGAATAAGAAGAATGTTTGCCTTGGATAAACTCATGATTCAAGTTTATTATCAGACAAAGTAAAGAATATATAATTATTTATAGTCATGAATTAATTGCTAGATAGCCAAAAATGCATAAGAAGACAAACTATTGTTATTTTTGTCATCATTCATTTATTAACATTTTAAGAAGAAAACATGTTAAATACGCTTAAAATAATAAATAATAAGTATTGTCTTCTAAGTCGTAAGTACTTTAAAACCTCCTACCCTTGTAATCAATTTTCTTTAAATACTTCCATCAGTAAACCCGTAGCTTAACTGTATGCCAATTGCCACATAATGCTTCTTTTAAAAAGGGGCTTAATTTTTTGGGACATAATTGTAGGTCCCTCTCTTTGTATTTCTATACATTTACATCGTGAATGAAATGAGAAAGTTTGTGCCATCTATTGCGCTTCTTATATCACCTTATAGTTTTCAAAAGTCAAGGTTTTCGGGTAATTATCAATTTTTTAATCACTTAACCTTAGAAGTTTTAAAAAGTAATCAACCAACCCCCAAAACCCTAACACCATCTAGGGGTGGGCAAAAAATTAGGATAGAATTAGAACCGGCAAGTACCCGGTTTCGGTTTCGGTTAGGGAACCGATTGTCATAAGGTCGGTTTCGGTTTTGAAAAAATTGGAACCGACACTGTGCAGTTTCGGTTTTGGTTCCACCCTTGTAAGAACTAAAACTGAAACCAGAATCGGGAATTGGGACCATTTTAAAATTTTACGATTCATTGAATAAGAAAAGATTTGAGGGTTTGAAGAGAATGGTGAGAAGGATCAGATGGTAATGGATTTGAGGATGGGGATCTTAAGAAGAAGAAGAACAAAAAGAACATAAGTATACCCTTACATAATTTGTTTAATTACAACATAAACTTTTATTCAGTGAATAAATAATTTCATAATTTATTTACATAGTAAAAAGAAAAACTAAAATGGCAATTGTTGCTAGCACGACTGGCGGTGGTCAACTATTGGTCAACAATAGGTCAATCACCGTTGATTGACAGTCAGCGCATGAAAAAGATGGCGCTTTGGTGTAACTAATGGTCCTATTAGGACAAGGAAAAACTGATCTACAGGAATTTGTTTCACCAAATTCCGAGATTCCATTTGGCCACAAAAGGCGACCGAATCTTTCATAGTATTTTGCGGCCAAATGAAGTGTTGGAATCCGGTGAAACCAACTGATCGAAACTTTTCAATCCCATTGGGATTGAAGGTGGCATCAACGAGCTATACCCTTGACTAGTGTTGACCGACGACCAACAATTGTTGACTAGCACCAAACAATCAACTATTTTGAATTTTTTTAAAGAAACTATTATTTAAATATTAATTAATTAAATATAAATTACTCCAATACATTTTTAAATATTTATGAAACACTTATCAAAATACAAAATAGAACTACAAAAATGTTTTAAGATATAAAATGTCTTTTTTTGGTTATCATACATACCAAAGCAATTTCAAAATCTATTTTACATTATGGTTTACCAAACATATCCCCAAATTATTTTCAAAGTTGATTATTTCCAAAGTTGAGTCTAAGCTAATTAAGCTTAAAGCTACAATAATCCAAAACTAACCCCAAGTAAAATCAGGGGACAAGGTGAAGGGGTTTAGAGGGGTTTTATATACGGTGAAGCGAAATCTTTAGTAACGGCGTTGAGGTTCTGTTAGGTTAAGTGGTTAACGACTTTTGAAGCGCCAAAATGTGTAGCAGAATCTGGAATAGAAATATGTATAAGATGGAATAGTTAAAGTTTTAGTATTCAGCCAATTATTTTGATAACATTACTACGTTAGGTACCGTACCATATCAATGATTGATAATGCTTTAATTCAATAGTTGTAAACTGGGTCATAATCTAAAAAGCTTTATGCGTATAAAATTCAATTCTTTTGAGTCTATGCAAATATACAAACTTCCAGTACCAGTGCAATTTATTATTTATACAGAAAGCACAAAAGTAACTACTAAGCCTCTGGCTAAAACTCATTAGTAGCTACTACTTTACCACCATTTACAAATTTACATCAAATTATGCATATAACTTTTGCATCCAAATTAACAGCAGAAAGACATCTATGCAACTGCAAACACGGGTCCAGTGCCACCTTCCTTGTCGGCATCAGGAATGCTGGTGTAGCAGTAGAGGCTGTTGGACATTTCCCAGCTCCAGTCTTGCTTCCGGGAAATAAACATCCGGAGCCACCGGTTTATCCTAACATAGTGCTCCCTAATCTTTCCTTTACCAACAAAACTAGTAATGATTGAATAGCAGCATTCATGACCACCCCACACCTTGTCACCAGGATCTGCTGTTTGGCTCCCATCTGGATGAAAGTAGCGGCGCATGGGGGGGCCAGTGCCCTTCCAGTAGGGGTCAAGATTACGCCAATAATCTGGTGCCACCTGAAAGCATGATAACATTCGTAACATTAATAGATCAGTTTGGCTTTCATGAAGAGATTGGTGATAAGGAGATAAATGAAACTATATGGTGGTACAAACATGCTTGAATTTTGTAATAGAAAACTAGAGAGGAAGGTAGTGACACTAATCAAAACCCTACCTCACTTAGAGCATGTTAAGAAAATTTGTCGAACACGAAACATCATTTACTCTTGTGATAATATGTGAGTGAGTATCTGACTTACAAGCAGAAGTAATCCTATATATTTCCATTGTTGTCCATATTTCAAGCTCATACAAGCTTCAACCTGTTAAATTAACTACTTACTGATACATAAGAGTTTTAATAATGAGCACAATATTAATCGGCAACAAATTTCATTGACTGGGTCATTTCAGACTCCTAAAAACCATAAAAACACATACCTTGTTAAAATGAAACTCCCAAACATGATCACATAGATCTTCCCTCATGATACGAGCCTAAAAAAATTTATTTAAAAAAAAAAAAAAAAAAATTAGTTAGTGTACGAAGTGTGTGCAAACATATTCTATGTGACTGCACGTTTTTTGTGTCTTTGTACACTCTTGTTTGGGTGTGTGTGTGAGAGAAAGAGAGACAGAGAGAGAGGAGAGGAGATTGGAGATTGGAGATTGCTTGACTGCAAAATGGAGAATCAGAGATTGCTCAGTACTCACACGTCTGCCATCCATTACAGATAATGAGTATGCTGCCAATTTTGATAATCCCCGGACTTGTGCCAAGCGAGGTATGTGTGCTTTCCCGCACCATAGTTCCTTACACTGAAAAGAACATGAGAGTTAAGTAAATATTTTTAAACAGCCATTTATAAGTACAACTGTTTGTTGCTTTAATCACTATAACAACTTTACAATAGACAGGAACTTGCTTTAATCACTCAAATGAACTAAAAACAATTATAGTTGTCCTAAAATTAATCCAAAAAATCAAGCAGTGAGAAAAAAGCAACTTGGACCACAGGGCTCTAAAATCCAGCAGAAGCATTCACACTATCCCTTGTGATTCATAGTGCAAAACTACCAAATCATGCTCAAAGAAGCAACATGGCAATTGTCAGTCACAAAATGCAATGAGGCAAATTTACCAGTATCTCACCAAGTATTCAAGTTTAGAAACTATAGACAAGATTTCAGAGCAATCAGAATGGCAAATTGAAAATCTTAAATTAATAAGAAGTCTAAACTCACCAAAAATTTATAGGCCTGCAGTCATCATCAAACCCCCAAGAAGGGCAGCAAGCAGGCTGATAAAGTATCTATGCAATTGAATCAACAAGTAAAGTTATACTTCCCACTAATTTTCACATTTATTTTAATCTCTGTTTCCACTTTTTCCCAAGATGTGAGAGGGTGCTAGAGTTCCACATTGTTCTGTTCTCATCAAGGCACAAGAATCCACCTCAATACCCTTGTAACTTTCACTCCACCTACTCTTTTATACTAGTATTACATTAGGTACACTTTCACAACTTTCTTATTTCATATTTAAAAAATAAATAAAGCCAAGGATTTCAACCAATGCAATGACTCAGTACACGAAAAAGTTAATTCTTCCTTCTCTTAGCACTCTCCAGCATAATGCCAAGTATATTAAAAGACATTCAATTTATTCGAAAAACTTTATATTACAGTGAGAAAACACAAAATAGAAAACAGAATACTTTAAATTACAGTGAGCAAAAACAAAATACAAAACACTATTACAAGCAATTTAAATTCCACTTAGCATAAATTGGACAACAGAGACCATGTCAGTTCACAAGCTAAGGAGGATTCCATTGAGACTAAACCAGCATAGATGAATGTTCTGCGATAGTATGCTATTCTCCCACATCATCCATCATTCAGCTGTTATTAAAAGCAATATTATCTATTCAAAGTCTACTCACATTGCAAAACATAATTCTCTTGGTACTCATCATAAATCAGTAAAATAGTAGTCAAACCAATCTAGAAGATAAGAATGTCGTTTCTGACAATATCAGCACATCTCTAGAAGAAAAAATTTTGTTTGTTGCAATATCAGCAAATCCAAATTTCAAAGTCTGCTGTCACTGTACATCATGCCTTATTTATATCATTTAAACATATCCACTTAGTTGCTACATATATCAAACTTGGGTTATACACTAGTATGTTATTTGTCAACATCTCCACCTCCATATTGACTTCTTACATCATGAAAATGATAATCAGAAAGCAGGCTATTCAGACTATTCACATCCCAAATTTGACTAAAATCCTTATGATATAGGCCCAAGGTGACAAAGACCATATTGGAAATAGTTATTATAACATTTTATAAACATTATTACTTTTCGCTGAAATAAGCTAGCACTTCAGCTAAATATAATGTAATTACTCAAAATGAAACAATGTGTATTGATATTTTTTACATAAAGGGGGGCTAAGTGTTATAGAACCTCCTACATATATAGATGCTTAAGTTAATTATCCATAGTTCTTGATGATTACCCAATCACTTAACATTGATAAACAAAGCTTGTCAACCCCTGTGATGTTCTGCATTAACTCAAAAATATTCCATATATTGCAAACTCTAAGCCACATTTTCTCTGATGAATTTACAGCAATGAAAATTCCAAATCACTGGCTGAAGCAATGGTAGCACGTAAAGTAACTTCACAAGTGATCAACTCCTATGTGAAGTCTTTACACCTGCATTATGCTCAACTTATCAACATCATGTCAACTGTTCCATACTTGGAAATCCAGGCTGCAAAATCTATTCTTTACACAAATCTCATCATCTTTGCATAAAAGATAATCCTTCAAATAAAATTTGACTCTTCTGTCCCTCTTCCAATTTTCTTCAAACATGAAACGGATACATCACAAAATGTAGCGAGTCCTATAAAAAGGAAGAATCATGTCCTTCTTATAAGTTAAGAGAACTCACGTCTTGATATAACACCTAAATGACAGTTTTTACACAATAAAGAATACCTTAATGGATCGAGGGCTTCAAAAACTACCAAAAGAAGGTAAAGGGATATTTTCTTTCATCCAACAACACCATGAAATTTCTTCCAGTAAGCTAAAGGGAAGAAGCAAAAGAGTTGAACCCAAGATCAGAGATAACATTTGCCCACAAATGCAGCAAGATGGAGCTTAACTGTCTCTAGATGCATTTACAACCGAATTAACTATTAACCAATATCTCGTAAAAAACTAGATTACCAACAGTTCCATGATCATAACTAAAATCAATCTCAAACGTGTAGATAAACTGCTAAAGGAAACTGAATTACAGTACAGAGTAATAACAGCAGCATGAAACCAACTAAGATCTTATCAAATCATACAACAAATTCAAATATGAGCCAAACGTTTCTTCTTCATATAGATAAATATTGGCAGCTAAGAAAGTGCTAAAAGAACACATGCATAATGCATTCGACTTAAAATTGTTACAGATTTCACATAATACGCCATATCATATTACTAAGTTTATATCATACCTCCCGCATGAAATAATTTCCCTAAAAGAACAATTTACTACGAATTATAAGTCAAACTCCGAACTAAATGAACTAAATTTACCGAATTACAAAAAAGAAATTATGAAAATTGAAAAATCAATAAGATAAGGATGAATTAAAAGCGAACTATGAAATTAGGTAAAGATAAAGAAAAGGTTAAAAAAACCTTGGAGGTCCAAACGGCGTCGCTGGAAGCAACATCGTACCAGGCACGAGAGACGAGGAGAGATAGTGCCACGCTGCGTGCGTCGAGGTTGTTTAGTATCATCAACATTATGTCTCTACCAAACATCTCCAGTGGATCCTTTACATTCTCAAAACCTTCTTCTTCTTCTTCTTTCTCTCGCTTTCTCCTCTTGTTCCTCTTTCGCTTTCTATTTCTCTTCCTCTTCCTTTTCTTTCCTCTCCTCTCTAAAACCACAATTTCCTTCTCCTCTACGATGTCGTTTTCTTTTTCCATTTCACGGACTTCTTGATCTTCGCTCGGTGACATGCGAGGGGAAGTGAAGGCCACGCGGAGAGAGAGTGCGAGCGAGAGAGGAGAGAGTGAAGTGAGAGCGAGGCACGGCCGCACGGGATCGATGTGTGGCTAGTGGTGACGTTATCGTGCACTCTTTTTTTTTTTTTTTTTTTGGAAGAAAAACACTTTTCCCCTGATACCCCATCCCCTCAAAATTACAAAACCTTACAAAGACCCCCTTGAAATTTACGTATTAGATTTTTAATGAACAAATTGCGTGTAATTAATGCGTAAAAATAATTTAAAATATAAGATATATGGGAAGACCACAAACAAGTGACGTGTTCGTTTGTATTATTTAATATATTAAGTATTTATTAGAATATTATAAATACAAACTTTTTGTTCAATATATTTATATGAGTTTATATAAAAAAAAAAAATCAATGCAATAAATGCTTAAACATATATAGATTATTAGATTAATAATGTACCGATAAAAGAATTATACCACATTAGTTTGTAATCAACCAAGAGTATGTGTACTTAGTTTGTATTAGTGGTGTGGAAATCCGGTTAACCGAACTGGATTGTCCATTTTACTAACCGAACCGATTTTCTGGTTCAAGGGAAATTGCAAATTGAAACTGATCCGGTTTCTCCCTTGAACTGGTTACTAACTGAACCGAATTTTTGATTCGGTTAGTGGTTAACCAGTTTTCAAAAGATGCACAACCGTTCTTTTAGTTATTGAATCAATCACTCCAGCATTCAAAGAATCAAAACATGCACAAGCAGTCAACCACAACCTCATACGAGTGACATAAGATTCTAGATGTGATGAAAGATTGAAAGTAAACTTAAAAAGCATATGCATGTTGAACATAAAATAAAATTAGTAAAGACATAAGTTGTTGGATGCATTAAATCTTACATTGATATTTGGCAGTTCGGCAATGGAGTATGGATGGCGATGGTGAGAATGGTGAACTGGAGTATGGATGGCGACGGCGAGAATGTGAACAGGATATGACGACAATGGAGAACAGGAGAAGCTGACAACGATGACAATGGTAAGAATGGAGAACAATATAGCAGAAGGCGATGAAAACTATGACAACGAGAATGGAGAAAGGGACGACGACGGCAACGACGAGATTAGATTTCAGTTTGAGAATGGAGAAGGAGAAGAGAATGTGAGTAGGTGAGAGTGACAGCGACAATGGAGTTCAGTCGGTAGTGTTTTTTAGGGATTTAGTTTTAGTTTTACTCTTTTAGCTTTAGGTTTTACTTTTTAGACTTTTAGTTTTAGGGTATATTATATGATATTTTTAAAATTTTTAAGGATAACCAGTTCAGAAAACCAGTTTCGGTTAACCGGTTTGAAAAATCGCCTAAATCGGTAACCGATCCGGATAAGCAGTTTGACCAGTTTTCCAAACCAAAACTGGTTTTTCGGACCGGTTTTGCGGTTCAGTTCCGTTTTCGGTCTTTTTTTTGTAGCCCTAGTTTATATATGTAGCATCATTTTCTCTGGTATAGTTGAAAATGAAAATGGCCAAAGAAATTTTGTTATAGTTTTGATGTTTTTTTAATTATTTATTTTTAATTTTCAATAAAGTTTATTATTAAATTAATATAATTGCTTTTAATATATCTATATATTTCTTAACGCGTTTTGACATTTAGAAATACTTATTTAATACAAAAAAAATATTTTTTTATCTCTACTAATCCTTTATATTTTAAGTGCTAAGAGAAATGTACTTAAAAAAAAGAAACATTTTGATTTAAATTGCCAAGTCTCATTTGATCTATCAACATAAACTATACTCTTTATAAATGGTTTAAGGCATTTTTAAGTTCAAATCAAGATGATTTAATTTGAATAATTATTTTTAATTGCTTAAGAGAATATTTTTACCTTTATAGTATAATTATTATGTTATTTTTAGGGAGAACTACTTTTTCCCACCCAAGGTTTGGCGATTCAACACTTGCCCACCCTTCAAGTTTCAAAATGACACTTTCTCACACTTTGTTAGGTTTTGTTATATTTTCAGTTAATAATTGACTAAAAAGACGAATATACCCTTAAATATTTGACTTTATAAATCTTTTATTATGTTTTAGTTAGCTAAAAAGTTAAATATTAAAAAGTCAAAAAAGAAAAAATAGTTAACCCAACTAAAAAGTTATGAATAATGCTATAAAATTGTTTAAAGTTAAATAACTTTAATATTTATTTATTTATAATGTTATCAATAGCCCATAACTATTATTCAATAATCTACTAAATTTATAATATTTTTCATAATATAATATTTTTCATTTTTATTGATTAACATGGAAAATCAATATTACTAATGAATTAAATAAACAAAGGAAAAAGAATAAATTTACACTCGAACTAATAAATAATCCAATAAAAACTTTGACTTACCTAATTTTTTATTTATAATAAACTAATTAACAAATAAACTATTTAAGGGTATTTTTATCTTTTCAGTCAAATATTAACAAAAAACACTAATAAAACCCGATAAAAGGAGACAAAGTGTCATTTTGAAATTTAATGGGTGGGAAAGTTTAGTTTTGCCAAACCTTGGGTGGGAACATGTCGTTCTCCCTTATTTTTATCGTTTGAGAATAATTTTTGGGTTAACTAGTAGGTTGCTTTTCTAACTTAAGGAGGATGTCAATATAGTTTGAAATATTTGGACTTCAAAATAGACCAAAATTAGGGGGATATTATTTTTGTCTTGTTTGTGGACTGATTCGGAGGCTTATGAATTATGTGCAGCGCAAGGAGTGATTGCCACGTAGAAATAGAAAAGGACAAGGGCTTTTAGTCTGTCTAATGAGGAAAAGCCATTTGGAGAGTAGAGTACACATGGCGACAGAATGAAAACTTGGGTGCAGCACGTGCTCTGAGAGTAAAAAAGAAAATAAAAAAATTGAATTGATTCTTAAGCGATCATAATCCAACGGCAGCAATAAATAGTTGAGAAATGATGTGGCCTTGCAGAGTGCAATTCAGCTTTTGCGTTGGCCTTGACGCTAGTCAAACTGCGACTCTGCATATTAGTGTCAGTATTTGTGGCAGACACGATCGCCGTTGGTTTGCCCCTGTCCGGATGTTCCAATATCAAAATATTTAATTTGTGAACGTTAATAGAATTTATAACATCAGCTGGGTTACCATTGCATGATAAAGTATTTTAATCTCTGTTGACTTTAAAATCGATCTCGTCACATGGAAAGTGACAGTTTATCTATGCATATTAAGTGAATGTTAATATATAGACTTTAAAATCGATCTCGTCACACGGAAACGTCCATTGGTTCTAACAATGCCAATCACATTAATTTGGTTGACGTGATTTTCTTCATTACCTATCCTATAAGTTTAAGAGTGTAAATTGAGTAGCCATGTTTATAGTGATTAGTGATATTTATAACGCCCAGGATCTAAAACTATTATAAATAAATATATATATATATATATAAGTCAAGCATAGAAAACTTTAGACTAAAAAATCTTTAATTAAATCAACTAGCTAGTATTTAGCTTTCAGTACTAGATATAATATTTAATTAAGCAAGTTAATATAAAGGAATGGTGGATGAGGTGAACCAGCATGCGGCTCTCATAATATTTTGATCACTCAAAAATGAACATGGGTGCAGTGAAGCTGCATGGACACTGGTCTAGTCCGTTTAATTACCGAATAATTTGGGCACTGAAACTAAAGGGCATACCGTTTGAATATATTGAAGAAGATCTCTACAATAAAAGCCCTTCGCTTTTGCAGTATAATCCCGTTTACAAGAAAATCCCAATTCTTGTTCATGACGGAAAACCAATCTGTGAGTCCTCGATTATCCTCGAATATATCGAAGAGACATGGCCCCAAAACCCATTGCTTCCTGCTGATCCTTATGAGAGAGTCATGGCTCGCTTTTGGCTTAAATTTGCTAATGAACAGGTACGCATATATACATGCTTGTTCTTGACAAATCTATTGATTTTACTGCTCAATCACACTTCACTTTTCAGTACTGTACATATAATCATATTCAGTTAGTTTTCCTTGTCCCCTTGAAATTAATTCATGGTACCGTCTCTGTGTACACACAGGGGTCTGCACCGTGGATCATGTTTAGTAGTAGCGGTGAGAAACAGGAGAAGGCGAAGAAGCAAAGCTTGGAAATGCTGAAAACCCTAGAAGAGATGGCGCTAGGAGACAATAAATTCTTTGGCGGAGAGAAGATCGGCATGGTAGATATAGTGTTTGGTAAATTTGCTCACTGGCTGGGAGTCCTTGAAGAAGGAGGAGGAGAGAAGCTACTTGAAGCTGACAAATTCCCTCGGTTGCATGCATGGGTCCAAAATTTCAAGGAAGTGCCCACAATTAAAGAAAACCTGCCTGATCGTGATGCGTTGCTCAAAAAATTCAATAGTATTAGGGAAGGGATACTGGCCTCTCCATGATCTTCGTTTGAATTTATTTAATCATGTATGAGATAATTAAGAGTGTTTTATATACTGTGCTTTCTGCTATCCATGTGTGTGTTTTGTGCACTGTAATCTTCCATGAAAGACTTGATGATATGCTTTGTAAGAATAATAATGGAGGATAATAAATTTCTCAATTTACATTTTGTTGTCTCATTTAATACATAAATATGTTGTAAATCAATATAATACTAGCCTACCATCGTAGTAATTGTTGTAGAACTTATTTTGTATCAATTCTGAATTCACATTTCTGTCTCCTCAAAGTTTTACAGAGTCTTCCAATTAACTACGATTTTCAGTGTGATGATTTTTGGGTCAAAAATTGCATTAATGGGGACATGTAACCTCACCCATTATATATGCAATTGTCTTTGATGCCCATTGGATAATGTAACTTCCTCATCAGTTACCTATTTATTAAAACTATATTTTAATAAAAAGTGCAGGATCAAATATATAATTTTAATTAAATTAAAATTCTAACAAAATATAGTCAGACAATCTACATAGACCGTGTTTTAACAGGTTTAATCAATTACAGTTGATTTTCGTTGAAGCTGAAGAGGGCTACTTTCTTAACATGTTTCTATGATCAAAGACTTTGGCATGCCTTAGAATTTTATTGACAACACAAGGTTTAGGAGAGGTGAGATCGATTTTTGGTCGATTTGTATCATAGTTTGATTGTTAATCATTAAGGAAATAGTTTGCGTGAATCATGGATTACCTGCAAAATTAAAGAAATAATGGAGGCAATCCAATAGTGCACATAACTAAGGAATAACGATAATTGGGTATCTAATAGTTATCCAGTCTAAAACTTACGAACTTACATTCAAAAGAAAAATAAATCAACACACACACACAAAAAAAAAAAGGACGAAAGAAAGAAAGAAATCTTACTTTAATATTGAAGAAACAAATTTGTCAAATATAAAAAATTATTTGTCACTATATAATAAAAAATCAAAGATATTTCCTTTTACCAAATCAAATAGTCTAATTAATGTGGGTGAACGATAAACCATTATCATATGGAAAGTGACAATTCAATGTCATTTGACTTTAGATTCTGTAACTGTACCCACCTACTCCCTTAATTTTAAATTTTTATTGTTGTATTGATGACTTCACTTATATATATGAATAATTTTATCCCCTATTATTGAACTAAATAAGGGTAGCCTTAACATATCCCCAGTAAACTCATTGGGTTAACAAAACTAATAATCGTTTTAGATTGGATTAGTTTAATTAGAAGACTATAATGAAATCGATGTTTATATCAAATGGAATAACAAAATAAAAAGTAGTGTTCAAACTTGGATGATGAACCACCGCCTATTTTGAATTCCTACACGTTAAATATGTTATGCCACTTTTCCAACAAAATATATACACAATTACATCAATAATCATAAATTAAGGTCATTTCAAACCACCTTTTTGAATTCAAACGTTAATTTTTTATTGGGAGTCGAATTGAGCAGCTAATGCTTACTGCCCAAGCAATATAGGAAAACATAGACTTTATAAAATGAATGGCGAGGTGAACCAGCTCTTACATTGCTCTATCAGTCTCAAATCTCAATATCAAACATGGGAGAAGTGAAACTGCTTGGATCATGGCCTAGTCCATTTTGTTATCGAGTCATTTGGGCACAAAAACTAAAGGGCATATCTTATGAATATGTTGAAGAAGATCTCTCCAACAAGAGCCCTTTGCTTTTGCACTATAACCCAATCCACAAGAAAATCCCAGTTCTTGTTCATGCCGGAAAACCAATCTGTGAGTCCACCATTATCCTCGAATATATCGAAGAGACTTGGCCACAAAATCCATTGCTGCCCACGGATCCTTATGAAAGAGCCATGGCTCGCTTTTGGATCAAATTTGTAGAAGAAAAGGTACACTTTAAGATCCTTATGATTTTAATGTCATCTTTTATATTGAAAATCTTTAATTATATAAACTCTGGCAGGGTCTTGCCATGTGGTTCATGTTTCGCACCAGCGGCGAAGAACAGGAGAAGGCAAAGAAAGACACTTTAAAAATGTTAAAAATTGTAGAAGAAATCGGTCTAAGAGATTTTAAGGAGAAAAAATTCTTTGGTGGAGATAAGATCAGCCTTGTAGACATAGCCTTTGGTGGCATTGCACATTGGTTAGGAGTCATTGAAGACGTAGTTGGGATGAAGCTACTTGAAGCTGAAAAGTTCCCTCGTTTGTACGCATGGATAAAAAATTTCAAGGAAGTTCCAGTTATTAAAGGGAATCTTCCTGATCATGATGAAATGCTCATCAATTTCAAGCTTAGAAGGGCAATGATACTAGCGGCTTCCTGATGTTTGTTTGCAGCTGAAGTTTTCATCACTTCATTTTCTTATTAAGGTTTTAAATCATGTAATAATGTACTCTTTTTTTAAAAAAAAAAAAAATAATAACTAAATCTATGGGTTTGTTTATTATTACGCATGTATGGTCAAGATTTATTTCTATATTTTTACAATTTTTCTTAACTAAAATCTCTAATCATGGAGTTCTTAAAAAAATACTAATAATAAAATAATCTAAATCTTTTAAATGATCTCCTAATTCTTCTGAGTTTTGAAGTATAAGTATGTGATTATTCTAATCATTTTTATTAATTATGAAACAGATGTAACCTAATTATTTTCCTAAGCCAAAACGATTGTTGAGACCATGAGAAAATTTGACCCATTTTATGTGTGCGTGTGACATTATAGATTTATAGCAATGTTTGCCTTTCTTGCACTTCGACAATTTGAGGCCTTGGCTACAGATGGACTGGATGAATATTTCGTGATCGTGATTGATAGTTTAATTTTCTAAATGGATGGAGACTACATTCAACAATTAACGTGTTTCTTAATGGAATATATGGGGGAAAATTAATTAATTTGACCACAATTTGATGGTCCGAGAAAAGATGAATAGTATACTAATCAACTGGTTTAATTTATTACCATAATACTCCTCTTTGTATGAACTTCACATTTCTCCTTCTCTCATCACTCTCATACGCATCATCCTATGCGATATCCACTAACTTGATTGATTCTTCGCATTGTGTAAAATATTTCTGAAATAATTTGAGATATCTCAAATTCCTCTATGTTTTGTGTGTTAAATTAAAACCCATTTATTCTTGTAATTTATCACCTAATATTCTTTTGCATCTCTCTTTAACCCCCTTCAAATTAACTTTACATTTATTATTTCAGTTCCTTTTTTTTTTTTTTTTTCTTTCTCAAGTTCCAAATAAATTTCTAACTTCTCTCTCTCTCTCTCTCTCTCTCTCTCTCTCTCTCTCTCTATATATATATATATATATATAACTACACGACCAAAATATAACTTACCATACAAGCATGTATTTCTTTTAAATATAAGACTCTTCTAATGCACTCTTCTAATGCTTTTTATAAAACTAATTTATTTTTTTTTATGGAAAATACTTGAAAGCTCTTCCTAAATACATATATTAAAATATTTTCTATAAAAATTTTCAATTTTTTTATTCATTAAAAAAAAAAAAAACCGATCAAGTATTTCCCTAAAGAGAACTTAATCTTTCAGTTATGTAAAAATTTACAATCAAAACTTAAAAGGTTATTGAACGAAAATTTTCTATGAATTAATTGTCACCCTTTTTTTTATAGTTTTTTTTAATATTTCAGTATAATATTATTTAAGTTGCCTCCACTCGAATTAAATCCTATCTACTGTTGGACAAACTTTTTCATAGTCATAGTCATAAGATCAATTCAACAATTTAATCGCTACTTTAGTTGAATCTGTTTGGAAGGAATCCATTGGTATGAGCGGCCTAATTAATAATCAATCAGAGTGGGAAACATTATCTGTTAATGTATAAATCACTGTTTTTGACGAATGAAAAATGACTTCATTATCAATATTCTCATCCCTCCATTAATGATATTGATCGTTTCATAACTAAATTTTTGGTGGTGTTGATGCGTGACTTTGACACCAATAAAACGCACGTGTGAAATACTGAGTGGGCCCAGAAGACACATGTGAATGTGAGAATGAGAGTGAATGCAATGGAGAACATCGTTTAAAGTGGTTCGGATGCTAAGGAAGCAAATCATACGTCTATTGATTTTGTATTAATGATAGAGGTCAGGTCATGTTAGCGAACTGACTTACAAATGATTATACAAGAGAGATAATGCTATTTTTCTTTAGAGAGAGTAGCTAATCCCTTAAATGAGAGAAGAGCTCTCAATTTATAATGGGATGGATTAAGATTATCATTACTAAATCTGTGAGCTGGTGGGATTATCCGTGCAAATCCTTCTTTATGTCCCATTGCCCATCTTCTAGAGTGATTTACGTTATTTGATGCAGGGATTGGACACGTGGAATCACTATAGCTTCTGGCTGGTCTGGCGCGCACCCACTTTACTAACAGGAATGTGCTGCTCAGGTCACCACGCGATGTGGCTGCTTCTAACTAGCTGCGGGCCTACCTAAGCTCTGACTTTTTATGCTAACTGAGTCTTGCGTCAGCCCTATATTTTCAGGTATAACAGAAGTCCCTTAGTTTTTAAAGTTTGAGAATCGAACCGTAGAAACTATAAATGCCTTGATCTGATGTGTTTGAAGAGATGTTGGCCGATCCGACCTGATTGCAAAGGAGATCGAGAGGACATCCTCCCACAAGCAACCTAGGATGATCCGCGACCTCAGGAGCAGCGACTTGGTCACGGTTACCTAGTGCTAGTGATGATCCCGACCTGTTCTCACTTAGCAACTTTTTAGGACAAATGGCCATGCTGCTTAGTAGTCGGTCACATCGCTTCGCGATTGACGTGAGATGGGGTCAAACAATCACGTCGTTTTGTGACTGATGAGAAGTCCGAAAAGTCACGTTGCCTCGCGACTGATGAAAAGTTCGGAGTCACGTCGCTTCGCAACTGACGATGAAGAGTGTTTTTAGTAACGATCTCTTCAGATATTATCCTTGCACCTTTTGCAGCGGGTGCATTAAATGAAATGCTCTTTGTTCTGACAGACGTGTCTTATGTGCAATAAGTGTCAGCTACGCGTATTAAATGCAAGTCATACTGAAACGACATTCCCTATCAGAGCATTAAATGCGGCTGTGGGCGCATTAAATGTGGAGGAGGGAAAATGTGTCGTCGCTTGAGCGTTTCAACGAAAAGGGGTGACGATCTGGTTTCTTGAGGCGTGATGGTCACTCTTCCTCGTTGATTCGTGACACGTGATAGCGATCAACGGTCAAATGCGTTTTCAACCCAAACGTCGTTTGATTTTGGGAAACCAAAGCGTCATTTCCTTCACTATAAAAACCCCAAGCTCTCTTCAGGTAAAGCCACTGTATTTTCATTCTCAGAATGCAAGAAATTTTTGCCAGCCTTGATTCTTTGCCTTTCGGAGTGGTGTTCGCTTGATATTTGGGATAGAAGAGCCAATCTTTCTCATTCCTAGAGGTAAAGATGATTCCCTTCTTTTATCTTTAATGTTTTTTGCTTTTGATAGTCACCATGTGATGACTGTCTGTCGGTAGCTCAACGGAGACGAAATAATCTCTATTGGGTTGGAGCCGTTGGTGAAGGCTCTTTACGTATCCTGTTAGGGTTTTTACTGGGTTTAGGGAGGAAAATCTTTCCTCCACGTTATCGTACAAAAATGTACGAAGACTGAATGGTACTATTTTGTTGCTTTTGCAGATTGCGAAAATGGACCCCCCAACGACTAGAGCCGATGAAGGAGCTAGCTCGCCCATAGAGGATGCCCCTACAAGCCCCCCTTGAGAAATTTACTCGACGCTTACCGCCGACGAGCTGCAAAGGGTGGTTAACCAGTTCGCTGTCAGCGTAGAGGTTTTCCGCAATAGGGTGCATACTGCCCGGGATCTGCCACGTGGGATGGTCGTGATCTCAGAAGATATCTCTAAGGGTGGGGGGTTGATCCCTTTCCACCCTTACACCAGGTCGATCCTCGATCACTTCGGGATCGCACCAATGCAGCTCACCCCGAACGCATACATAATCGCCATTGCCATGTATATCGCATGTCGGGAGAATCGATTAGGCGAGCTAACCGTGATTGAGCTCGGTTGCTCATACATATTAAAAAAGAGCAAGGACAAGGATTCCTGGTATTTGTCCAGGCGAAACTAATACAATCGGGGATACATAGCTATCCGAGTAATGTGGGATCATATGATACAAAATTTTTCTTCTTTCGTTATGACGACATCAGCCACTTTCAGGATCCAAGTAGGTTCTCTTTCCTTCTGAACTCACTCGATTTTTGCTCCTCGCTAACGAGCTGTTTTTTTTTTTTTTTTTTTAAAGTTAATAGAACGACCAGTCTGAACCTGCTCGCAGACCCGGACAGAATTGTTTCATTCGGTTTTCTGCCCACGAAAAGTCGAGACGCGAGGTTGCTTGTGACAACTGAGAACTTGCGGAGGTACGACTTCTTCAACGCGGACGCAGACTTAGAACCCCCACCGAGTAAGTTTCTACTGTCCTTTCTAATCTTTCTTTTTGGTAACGAACTGTTTCACTAACGGTGTTCGCATGCAGCGACCATGCCTCCTCGGGTGTCCAAGTCGCCATGATCAAGACAATTCTCTTTTCCCTAGAGGCATACCACCGGGCCAACTGGAGCTGCTCCCAACAGTCCTCCCGTCGGAGGGGCACAGGTGGGTGCTCCAGCCTGACCTGCGGAAGTTCCCCCATCTTCGACTGCTCGTCCGAAGCAGAAAACTACGGCCTAAAGGCTTAAGAAGAGGCGGCAAATTCGGACCGAGGAGTCAGAGTCCGAAGACGAAGGCTTGGGCATTCAGCCCGAGAGGTCGCAACCTTACCAAAGATTTAGCTCGGGAAGGCTACTTAGAGGCACGACTGGCATTTCCATCGGTTAGTTGACGCGACCAGCGGCTGCAGTCCCTGGGAGGAGGTTAGGCAAAGAGCCTACGGGGCAAACTTTACGTGCCAAGGGTGTAGGCACACCCATGCTAGACTCGATGGCCCAGCTCTCGGATCATTTGCAGTCGGTGGTTTTAACGCTGTTGGAATGTGGGCTTGCGGAGAAGTTTGAAAAGTTTGTGGCCTCCAATTCCATCGATCTATTGTCCATATCATTCCAACTCCTAAGCCAGGTAAACGAATTGTCCTCGGCGAGGACCTTTGCTCGTTTTTTAGAAGGGAGTAGACTTTTAACTTTTATTCTTATCGTGTAGGCCTTGCTTTCCCTGCATATGTCCCAACAGAAGGCTCAGCTGGGGTCTGCCGAGGAATTGATCGAGCTACGGGAGGAGAATGCGCGACTTATGCAGGAGCTGGAGGCTGCACGAGCAGATAGAGACTCATCCATCGCTCAGGCAGACTAGCACATGT